TCACTCTGCTTGGCGCTTTGCTGCTCCGTCTCCACAGACTGAGTGCTTAAAGTGCTAGAGTGCGGCGCTTTGGATAATGATACATTCAGACAACGCTCCAAATTTATGAACGCTCCAGTTTGTACCAGAGTGCTACTGCTAGCTAATGTCTGTGGAGAATTGTTGTGCCTCTGGCTAAGCCACACCCACCAAAAAACGTCATCTGTTTACTAACAATAGAAGGGTCTATTTCGAGCGAGTGTTTAGTTTGTATTGTAGAAAGATGGCACTGCAACATGGTGATCTCAATGGACGAGGACCAGCTCCCTATGTAGATATAAACGGCTCACTCTGAAGATGCGTTCGTAAATCCAATCTGATGCTCTACACCAAAATGAGAGCCCTGTCATTTGAAGAAACGGAGCGTTCTATTTCTACATGAGTTAATCACACATTCACTCCACATGGCATTCTGGTGCTCTGTCTCACCAGACAGTGTCCAGAGTATGCTCTGCTGCTCTGAGAGTGTGGGCTTCTGAATAACTCAACAGTAGACCCAACAGCGCTCTGAATTTACTAACAGTCCAGTTTGTGCTAGAGTGTGCTCCAGCACTGAAAGCACAACAATTTTTATATTCAGGTGATTAGACACTAAAGAAAACATGCTTAATTTATTAAGTATGTCATTTCTGCCAATATACCCCCCCTTAATCCTTCACACTGGACCTTTAACCCTATGGGCCCAAACAATGCATAGTATGTCCAAATTCACACTTGTTCTTCTCTATAGTTTTTCTCCGCGACTGTGCACCACGCATATCACCTGAAACAGCGGAATTGTAGCTTTCCGACAAGACCAAGCACTTGTCGGTAGTCCAATGTTTTCACAGCGAAGAAAAACGATAAAGTTACACTAAAATGATGTATAACAGAGCTTTCATACAGCTCTGCACACACATTACTGTTGGATGGATTACTCACGAATGCAGGGTCGCACAGAAATGCCACGCATATTAGAGCTGGGCGGTATACCGGTTTGTACCGAAAACCGTTATTTATTTTCGTTATGATATGAATTTTTCATATACCGCAATACCGGTCAATAGCCCAAACAACGTCCGGAACGTGCACGGCGGGAAAGTGTTTCAGCAGGGACCCATTTCACCGCTGCACACCACGGGCACGCTTGAGCGGGTGAGAGTGAGCGCATTGAAAAGTTTAGAGGCGAGAATGGCTGCTGGAGAGAGTCCTGAAAGCAGAGCAACTGTACACGATGACCCAGAAGAACTCATACCAAAAAGAGCAGTGTTTCCCGTATATGCAACTAGCAGCGGCGCACCGCCGTTTACAATTCTCTGTCCTCTGTATCGCACACGGCAGAGTTTCACCCCGATGCACACACACACAGACAAAGCACACACACACAGGTAAGCACACTAGAGCACGGCTCGGGCCGCATTTTCCTGACCGCAGACGACCCATCCCGAGTCCGTGACAGTTACGGCCGGGCTCCACCGGGCACGTCAGCGGCGCGACACGTCTGCAGCGCGAGTCCCGTAGCAGCTCGTCCCCCCCGTTAATCAGCGGCTTCACCGGCAACGGGAGCAGCGTGACAACCCCCGTCTGTCACGCGACAACTCTCTATTTTACGCGGCTCTTCAATTTTTGTCGCACTACGCTCCCCTACGCGACCCTCCAGCAGATAAAAACTACATGAAATAGTGTGCTAAATGAGCACAATGTGTTTTTAAATGAATAAACCATTATCAGAGGTGATATGCGATGATTTTTTTTCATGCATTTACCCATGTTTATCCGTGACATTGTGTAAATGTCCGCGGCGGACATTTGAAAGCGAGTAGATGACAAACAGTACAGTAAACTTGTAGATAACTCAAATATATGTAATAACTTAGGTGGAAAATGCTTTAACATTTCATGCAGCCTACATGCAGCCTCTCGGCTTGGCAAACGGTAAACAACCCCACTGGCTTCTCTACGTGTCGCTTCTGTACGCAGTCAGTGGAGCCCAAATTAATGGAGCAGAGCGTGTGTTGCGTTCAGGCGTTGTCAGGTAAATAACAAATTCCGGCACTTGAATAGGCCATAGCACAACACAGCAGCATGTCAAGTTGGCCAAACCTGAGCAAAATACCATGAAATATCGTGAAACTGATATGATTTTTTCTTAAAACTGTGATATGAAAATTTTGTCATACCGCCCAGCCCTAATGCATATCACATGAAAGCACAGGAGCAGAGCTTTCCAGTGATACCACACACATCATTGTGCTGTCATCTCATCATGCCATAAATCCAGATTGATTGTCTACAAAATAAAAACCTGACGAATTTCTTTACAATCCATTATACAGATCTTGTTATCAGTCACTTCATATAGTGAGGAATATCGTATCTTACCACGTCTTAGGCTTGTGTGTGTTTCTCCCTGTCTATCCACATTTGTAGTCCAGCTTTCAAGATGCAAATATCTCCATATTGTCCAGCTGACACTCCATCAAACTTTGTATGACAAGACCAGCCACTTCACCTTTGCGCACCCAGACAACTGTAGCCTAATTATGCATACATGACAAGGCCGTAGTCACCATATACATTGAGGGGGACATGTGTCCCCCCCCAATGCCCAAAATGTCCCCCCAATATATAACTAAAACTGAAAAACAACAACAAACTTTGTTTACTGCAAACAAAGTGGCAAATATTATCTTGGAGGACATCATTGCACTTGGTTGACTATTTTTCTATGATCTTAGATGTAAATATTGCATGTTTCTTTCAGATAAAACACATTTTTGACTTGTGAATGAGTCAATGGAATTTCTTGCAATAATGAAAAAATATTGGCAATCATGTCCGCCTGGCACAAACCACATGTTTTGGACAGCTGTGAAGTGACAGAATGTCCCACCATCACAGTTCATATATTCCCAGATTCCAGAGAGTCTCCCCTCTTCATGTATAGCAGAATATGTCATTTTCCAACTTGCTATGGTGAGATATATGTAAAAATGTAAGAATTTAGTAACATGGATTTGTTTTTTTTTCATTGATATAAAAATTAATATAAAATACAGGCACATGGAAGGACATGAAATGATGGCAAATCTGGTTATCCCAGATTGTCATGAAAAAAAACAAGATATAGCATGTGTATGTAGCCTTTATAATGACTGTGATATGAGCTTAAAAGTAAAGGCAGAAAAAATACCCCAAAAACACCTAGGGCCCATAGGGTTAAATGCGCCAGAGTCACATCTGGCTCACCTGATGTATGTGAAGTTGACAAAATTTGCAAAAGTCAAACTACAAGAGTGTTGGGATGAACTCTCACTTCCTGAGTTACCTTTCCATAATTAGTCCAATAATAAATCCTGTATATCATGCTGCATAGCGCAGGGGTTGCTTTATCACAAGTATAGATTTTTTGAAGAATTTTATGGCACTTCTACTTTTATGTACTGATTATGGTTGTGTTATTTTTGATAAGATCTCTCCCTCAGACACTATGTGAGAGCTTATTAACAGCTGAGTCTTTGGAGGTGGAAATCTCACTCATATAAATAATCTATAAGCAAGAGTCGTTGATGAGAGCCCCTACTGTACTGCGCTCCTCTTTTTCACGCAGGATGTAAACTCTCATTTGCTGCATCTCTCTAGAAGTTAAGTTGAAATTGTTCGCATAATCTGTGTTGATTGTCGGGCTCGAGCTCCCCTCCACCCGACTGTCAACAGAATATTGAGGTCACATTCAAAATCCATGAAGTCAACCGTCTAAATTTTGAATGAGATGTGCAAAAACTGGGTCTGGACGAACCACTGGACGTCTAACAGCTTGTAAATTGCTGCTGAAATGGTGCCGTCACTGAGGTCTGACATTCGCCATCAGCTGCCACTATGACTCAGACGTGTTATTTTCAAAGACGGGTTTTATATTGGAAGAGCTTCTCCGTTCTTACCTGGAGCATTATAACACGATTGGCTCCTCAGGAAGAGAAGCTCGGCGTGGTCATGTGGTCATTAATAATCCCGCGCAAGGACACGCACACACGTGAGAGTGTGCTAATAACGAACACTGCTCCCCCTCTTTGACAGCACTTTATAGCTGAGAGAAGATGAAGAGGTGAAGAGGTCACTCATTCCCCGAGGGAGATTGCATCTTGGCAGCTAGATTGCATTTCAGCGTTCAAGGCCTCATCTTATTCCGTAACCAATAAGAACAGAAGTATGACAAATCAAAGTAATCCCAGCAAGGTAACCACAAGGGCCAGCATCCCTTCAAAACTCTGTGACAAGTTGTGCAATGGATTGCATTAAAGGGGAGTCAAAATGAAACATAGCTGAAGCAGAGATCGAGATCATTCAATGTGAAGCTCAGCTGTGGAACATGACAGGCTTCACAGTGCGAATGAAAGTGATCTGTTGTGGGGCTATCGGAGTAGGATTGACAGAGGCAGACAGACACCAAGGCTCAAAACGTCCCCACGGCAAACAGATACGATCAGCCAGAGAGAGCAGATTGACAGCAGATGCTTTGATGGGCTGAGAATGCGCTGTTGTGCAGGGAGGAGGGTGAAGCAGAGGTAGGTGAAGAATTACAGCACAGTGGTAACACTGTGATTAACTAGTGTACACATAATGCAAGCTCCAAATATGCCAAAGCTTAACACAGCAAACAATGCAGAGTACACCCACACTTAAAGTACTGTATAGGGAACAGAAAAAGCTCGACTCACCCACACAGTGGGCTTTGTACACATGATCTAAATGCATGATCTGTCTCTTTCTCACACTCCCCCCCTCCTTACTCCTCTCACATCACTCTGGTTGCACAGACACACACAAGAGAACTCCCTCTCAACAAGATAAGAAAAAATATGAGTAACAGAGAAACTAAAAAATGCAAAAGTCAAGAAAGCAGAAGAAGCACTGTCTTGTAAACAAACATCCCCCAAAGCTCACACTCACTCAGAGGTAGAAGAAGATAAAAAGGGACTCACCCAGAAAAGGAGGTTGAAGAAGACCATTCCGTATCGCAGGGCCATCATGCAACCCTCGGCCATCCTGCAGCGCCGCAGTTCTAGGAGGAATATGAAGGAGAGGTCCAGGTAAAACACCACATACTTCTTCCCCTGGGCGTAGCGCCCCTTGGACGTCTGCGGCCCTTTTGTCGTGTGAAAGCCGAATGCAAACGGTGGCCGCTTGTACTCAAACTCCCCGCTGAATCGGTGAAACCCAGAAGTGAACGGCGGCGTGTCAGGTTTGCTGTCCAGAGACGGACTGCGCCGGTACGGAGTCTCGTCTGTGCTCGAGCGTCTCATTATGGAAGCTGAATGAGCCTTTAAGAGTCTTTGATAGTCACTTTGTGTACTTGAGGTCTGAGCAAAGTCCACAACGAGGGACCAGGAGTTATTCCACTGGGCGCTGAGAGATGGATTTTGGTGATTTTTCAACCTGTCCTCAGTTTACCTCAAAATAGTTACAACCCCTGTCAAACCCTGGAGCAGCTGATTTAATTTTACCACAGGTGTGAACACACTTGATCTGACTTAATCTGTAGAAGATAATGTGCTGCCATCCACTTGACTTGAGTTCGTCTCTTTAATCCTACAGTGCTACTATATTCAGCAGGAGACTCTGCATAATCCTGCCGCAACACCTGTGTAATTCTGTGTATTTAGGACATAATCCCAGCACACACACACACATCTGCACATCCCTGTTTCCCTCTCTGTAATCGCTCAAACACAGGTGTCATGCTCTGAGAGATAAGCCGGTCTGCGGTTTCATCTCCTAACGCTTCAATCAGGTAAACGACCGGAGGGCTTCGGCTCGACCTCTCCGGCTGTTCTGGGCTGGCGAAATGATCCAGAAACGTCCTACCTGGTCTCATGAGAAATTCCTGAGCAGGTGCTCTCGGCCGGGAGGTAATGGCACCCCTGAGTCGGCCAATCAACTTCTTTTACTCAGTATCACATCAGCTGAGAATGAAATGCTACGCTTGGGTCTAAGTCGTGGCTGAGTGTTCGGCATGTGGTTGTCGATGTGCTTTTGCTGACATGCAAAAAGAAAACAGATAAGGAGATGAGAGGGAAGGATGATGTTATGAAAAGAAGCGTGAGAGGATGAATAACGGATGTGAAAGGACCATTCTTTGGCTTCTTGGATTAGTATCCCTGTTGAATTCCTGCCTTGCCCAGTTCCCCCCTCGCTCTTTTTGCATCTGCCCTAACTTGTCCTTTTTGTCTCTGAAAAGTGTCTAGGGGTTACCCTGCCTCTCTTCCACAGCCTGCTCTTCACACATCTAGCAATTCGCCCTCTTCAACTCCCGCTTATTCTCTCCCTGCACCTCACACTGAGCCCCTCTCTGCGCTCCCCCCTCTGTGCTGACGGCGGTTAATTAATTTCCAGACTCTCATCAGTGAAGCAAAGTGTGCGGTGTCCCCTCTTCTCGTCTCTCCTTCCTCCGCTACAGCATTTCTCTCCTCTTCTCTAGGTGGGCAAGGAGATCAAGGTGTCCACTGGGGTCATTGCAAAGCAGCGAGAAAAGAATAAGCAAGAAGGAGAGACAGGCAGGGAGAAGAGAAAGACAGTTTCCACAGAGAGGCAAAAAGAAAGACTGCAGTGTTTGAGCGGTAGTCCAGTCTCGCTGCCTGAAGCTCCCTCCCTCTTTCTCTTCACAAGCTCCTGTTCTCTTTCTCTCTCTGTTCACCCCCCTCCCCTTTTCTTTCCTCCCTTCCCTCACAAGCTCCGATGCTCTCCCCTCAGCACGCGCAATCTCAAACACCCCATCCCTCCTTGGTAACTGTCCCCAAAACCTGGCAGCGCGAAAGGCAGGAGCAGTCATTCATATTCTGGCCACACCCTACGAGGGAGCAGAACCAATCAGTGTCTCGCAGCCCCATCATCCCTCGTGCACACGCCAATCATGCCCTACCATCAACCAGATAACACTCACACACACACATACACACACACACACACAATGTATATGCTCACACAAATGCACACAAAACCTAGTGTGTTGTGAACATACCAGTGCTGAGAAGCTTGCTGCACTTGCGCTAGTGCTTCCTCCTCCTCTCCTCTCTGCCTCCTGCCTGGAACTCATTCTATATGCAGAGGTTGTTCTTGCGCACAACCCAGGCTGCTCTCTGCACGCTTGGCTTCAGTCATGTTTCCCCTCTCCCTCACCCCCTCTGGACCTGGACTTGGGTCACACAGCATCCATGTTGCCACACTTGGCACTGATTTTTCACACTACAAACAACTCACCTAAAGTGTGTCACAGCGCGAACGTTGTTGGAAGCCACACTGCTGCTGACACAAAATAACTGCATGCCCCCCTGCAACCTGGTGGCCATCTGGGTCAGTGGCTTTATGAGTCCACAGGGACGTTTCAGAGCTGCAGAGGTACTGACTGAGTTCATGGCTGCATCGAGTATTTAATGGATTTCTGTTTCCTCTCCTGCATGTATTTTTGTCAGGCAGCGGAGGTGGTGGTCTAAGAGAGTGGATGTGACTTTCTGACAGACTGACATTGTTGAAAAGAGCATACACTACTGCTGGGCTAATAGTGCTTTCCTCCAAAAAGGTTACTGGACATGAGGCAATGTCAAAATGATAAGTAAGATTCTGAACTTTAATAGTATTTACAGCAAACGCAAAAATGGTTCGGGTTACATGCAGGTCAACAAGCAAAAGGGCCAATATTTTTTTTATCATTTTGTTTAGTGTCTGAGTCAACACCATGATGTTACTAGCTAAAAGAGTGCTCACTAAATAGGTTTACATTCATATGCAGCACAAATTTTAAGCAAATCAATTAAGATATCAGCAAAAGGAAAAGCTAATTATTGCGTGTCACCAGAGTAAAGGCCTTTGCACACCAGTCCGAAATTTTCGTCCGAAATTTTGTCACTCATCAAAGTTTTTGGAACAGGTTTCTGTGTTTTTAGCTTCCGTCAAAAGGCTTTAGAGAGTTTTTTGACTAAGAATCAGTGACGAAAATGTGGCGGCGGGACACATATCCGTGACAAGACAGAGGATCATTCCATAACTCAGATAGCTGACTTTCAACAGTTCAGATAGGAATATTCAGGTGGATAATGATGATGAGGAGGAGGATGTGGACAGCACACAGACAGAGAGAGAGAGAGAGAGAGAGAGAGAGAGAGAAAGTGTTGAGACAGAGAGGGAGGACAGCTTGGCCCCTTCAGCTGCGTTGCCAAATGTCAGACGTGAGGAAAGAGTGGCAGCGGCCAAGAAGGTAACTCCAGTGGAGAGGAGCAGGGGAGGAAATGTGTCTCTGTGTAATGTTTTTTTATCAGATGTCAAGTAAAAAAAAAACGTTACGCAGAGAAAATAGACTCTGTGTGCAAAGGCTTTAAGACGTTGGCATTGTGCATTGCTGAAAACCATGGCTGTGTTACATTTGTATATTTCATACAGTATGTATGACCTGTTCAGATGGACGGTGGATGGTGGACAACATGACACTGAAACATAACAGCTGATCACTGTATGAGACCAACAAATTGTTAATGAGAGTTCTGGACATTTTCAGCGATGTTTCTAGCAACCAAACCAGGTATTTTAAGCCCAAACATGATCTTTTCCTAACACTAACCAAGTGGTTTTGTGCCTAAATGGCTGCAGGACCGTTGCCAAGCAGCAGACAGCAGCAACGGTTGGAGACCAACAAAAGCAGGTGTTTTAACAGGGACATGCCCAGCTGTGTCTGTAGCAGTAATAGTGGATATGTTTTAACAAGAGTTAGGACATGTCCAGCTGTGTCTGTAGCAACAAAAAACTAACTGTAACTGTCTAACCGTGTTTCTAGCAAGAGTCACGGGTACTTTTTAATGAGAGTGTGGAATATGTCCAGAGAGTTTGTGGCAACAAAAGCAGGTATTTTTTAACAAGAGTTTGGGACATGTCCAGCTCTGTTACTAGCGACAAATGCGGGTACCTTTTAACAAGAGTTCGGGACATGTCCAGCAGTTTGAAGCAATAAAAGCAAGATTTTTTTAAGGACAGTTTGGGACATATCCAGTCGTGTTTGTAGCTACCAAAGCAGGTATTATAAGCCAAAACATGATCATTTGCTAACCATAACCAAGTGTTTTTTGTGCCACATACATCAATCAGCCAAAACATTAAAACCACTGACAAATGCAGTGAACATTGAACATCTTGGGAAATCTTGGGTTCTGACATTTGTGTGGATGCCACCTGACATGCTCCGCCCACTTGAACACCAGTGCAGACCAGGCACCCCCCATTATGGCAACGGAACTCCCCAGTAGCTGTGGCCTAGCCTGAGTGTCAGACTGAAGCTCCCAGAACCTTCAGTCTGACATGGCTTCCATTGAAGGCGATTTACAAGGGGGAGGGAATTTGATTTTTTCCCTAACCAATCAGTAGAGATCAACGACTCACCCAGAATCTGACGTCATTAGTATCCATGCCTCGGGGGTGCCGAAAACAAGTGAGCATTGCCCGTTTAAAATGTCTCCGTCGTCGTGCATGCCCAGCTGCATCGCTGATAAATCCTTAATTTGGTCCTCCATTAACGCGAGTAGTGGCGAAATACCTCAATAGCATCGTTAATGTGGTCTGTAGGATCTGTAGCGGTCGCCATTGTTGCTATCCTCACCAGTTACCCACCGGCGTACAGCTTGACATCAGCGTGGCGCTGATTGGCTAATCGCTAGACCCCCGGCGTTCATTGGTCCATCCATCATTTGGACGAGATAAATTGCAAATTCATTGAAGTATGCCAGACCAGTAATGCAAGCCTACTCAGTTGAGTGGGCGGGGTCTATGGTCTGGAACCAGGCTAGCTGTGGCCCCTCAACAGGACAATGCGCCATGCCACACCACAAAACTGCTCAGGATTGGTGCGAGGAATGTGACAAAGAGCTCAAGGCATCAACCTGGTCTACAAATTCAGCAGATCCCAATCTGATCAAACATCTGTGGGACATGCTGGTTCCCCACCTTACAACCCACAGGACTCAAAAGATCTGAAGCTAATGCTCTGGTGCCAGACACCAAAGGTTACCCCCCAGAGGTCCTGTGTCCATGCCTTAACAGGTCAGAGCCAAGTCCAGTCCAAGGAGAAACCACCGTAAATCTGGGGTACCTCTGGGGCACCAGCACTTCCCTCGAATGTTCGATCAGGTTGGGATCTGGGGTATTTGGAGGCCAGGTTGACACCTTGAGCTCTTTGTCCAGTTCCTTGGGTCATGCATGCCTGAGCATTTTTTGTGGTGTGGCATGGTGCACTGTCCTACTGGGGGGCCACTGCCATCGACAAGTGCCGTTGCTATGAAGGGGTTTATTTTGTCTGCAGTGGTGTTTGGGTGGGTGGAGCCCATCAAGTTGCATCCACATGAATGCCAGGACTCAAGGTTTACCAGCAGAACATTTCACTGTAACAAGATGATCAATGTTATTCACTTCACCCACCAATGGATTTAATGTTTTGGCTGATCGGTGTATCATCATACATCCATATCATAAATATACAAATGTAACAAATCCTTGGTTTGCCGAAATGTACAATGCCAACCTCTATTCTGGTGATTGGGTTGTATGTGTTTCTGCCCAACACTGTTATGCGGAGTTGGTTCACCAAGATAAATTGACAAGATAAGAGACAAGTTGCTGGCGCTAATTGTCATGTCAGGTGCTGTTCTAACCATTACAGACGAAGAGGGTGCAACAAGAGGACGGTATTAAAAGAGCGACGGTCAAAACATCATGTAAATGTGGTATTTATGTTTGCTTCAAGTAGTGATTAGAGAGAGTTTACAGTCTCATTATCGCTTCACACAGATCAGATGTTTTTGTCTGCCTCTTCAGTGGAGCAGAAGCTTCATATACTTCATGATTTAGTTGCAGAGTCTGTTTTTTTAATGCACTTTGTAGCATTCTACTTCTATCAATACACCAGCTTTGCCAGCTTTCTTTAATATTGCATTTTGTTTTTGAATTCCTGCATTTCCACCCAGCTGTTTTTATATGCAGAATAAAAATACGTGGATGCACCTATAGTCCTGTATCGCAGCCAATACACAATCCAGCAAGGTGTAGAGACAGCTTAAATCCTGATCTCTATACAAATGTAGACATAGATATTTGTCTCTGCTGCTGAGTGTGCTGAAACATGATCCATATTGCTGAAACACAACACGTAGGCTGTATGTCATATTCATACAGCATGAGATTTATCCCACTTAGAAGTTACTTATGCCAGTTATTGGCACAATCTGCTGTCACATTCATGAAATATACCGACTGGGATGAATCATGCAGCAGGAAACTCATTGTCATTAGCATACTGTGACGCCACGAAGCAAAACACATGACATGACAAGCAGTTACTGTTAGTCATTCATGTAATTCCCTGACCTAACACATCAACCACCACACACAGCACATCTCTAGCCTGGATTCACACACATAAACACACACATACACACACACAAACCAGCGCACTAAGTAAACGTGCAGTGGCACCCCGCGGGTGGCGGCGGCTTTGATGTCCTCAGCGTGTACAAACACACAGAGGGAGAAAAAAGGAGGTTTGGCTGCAGCAAGGAAACATGATACACAACATGATGAAATTCATCTCTGTTAGACGGAGGGTTTATATATACAGTGGTGCTTTATGAACCGCTGTCATGTGAAAAAAGGATGTAACCGGACTGACATGCTCAGCGAGATGCACGAAGTGTGCTGTGCTGCACTCTGGTCTCCATGCAGTCATAAAGGGGTGTGAGTCTGGCTTGCTTTCCC